TTTGTAACTTGCTATTTTACTGAAGCTATTAATTGTTTCAGCTAGCTTGTTTGCTGATTCTCTGAAGTTTTCTAAGTCATCATATTATTAGCAAAGAGAGTTAATTTAGAATCCTCTTTGTATTTATGGTTAAATTTTTTTTCTCTTGCTGTTATTAGCATGTCTAGAACTATGCCAAATTAACAGCAGATAATAGGAACTTTCTGCTTCTGCATTGATTGGGAAAACTTCTAGTGTTTCTCCAACTGTAAAGGAAAAAAAAGTAAAATAAAATATTAGCTTTTGGTTTTTGCTACATACATTATATATATATAATACTAAAAATGGCCCTTTTATACGTATGCTTTGGAGGGTTTTAGCATAGAGTGTTGCATTTCTGTCAGGGGCTTTTTCTACATCTGTTGATCTAATCATGGTTTGGAGTTGGGTTTTTTTTTAGGTAATGTTTTTTAATATGATTATGTTAATTTTATTCTAACATTGAACCATCCCTGCATTCCTGGTATAAATCCAACGTGATCATAGTGAATTCTTATTAAAAATATATGTTACTATGGTCTTTTTGATAGGATTTTATTTACATTTTTAATCAATATTCATTAGTGATACTGATCTAGAGTTCTATTTGTTTTATTCTTCCCTGGTTTAGGCACTAAAACTGTATTTATCCCATAAAAGCAGTTTGGAATAGAGCATTTTCTTTTTTTCAATTTTTGAGAGTAGCTAGACTAATAACAGAAGTATTGTCCTTTAAATTTTGATAGAGTTCACCGGTAAATTCATCTAAATCAGGGTTTTTCCTCTTCTTTGGTAATTCTCTTGGAGCTAGTTCAATTACCCTCACCCACCCCCTGAAATTGGATTGTTTAAGATTGCTGTTCCAAGAGTACTAATTTGGGTAGTTTTTAAAAGTCCTCTCTTTCTTTTAAATTCTTAACTTTATTAGCATATACTTATATACAATAGGTTCTGCAAATTATTTTTATTCTCTATTTGTTGTGATTTTGCCTTGTTTGTTTGTTTTTTTTAATTTTGGTAGTTTGATTTTTTCCCTCTTATTCTCCCTCTTATACAAGGTTAGTGTAAGGTTTGCTATTTTTTTCAAAGCCTTTTGTTAGTTCTTTCAAATATTTACTTATCTATTCTATACTTTTTTGTTTTCCATTTTATCTCATCTAACTTTTAAGATTTCCTTTTTTGTGCATATTTGTTCATTTTTATTTTTTAATATTTTAATTGCATATTCATTTTATTAATCTTCTCTTTTTCTATTTTGTTAATCTATACTTTCAGAGGTGTAATTTTTCCTTTGAGGATTGCTTTAGCTGCATCTCAGAAATTTTGGTATGTAGTTTCTTCATTATCATTCTCTTTCACATAGTTATTGAGTATTTTTATGATTTATGATTTGATTTATTTGTTATTCAGGATATCATTATTAAATCTTCATATAAATTAGTGTTTTTTGCTTATGTTCCCTGCATCAACTAGTAAGTTTCTGAGGCCAGATTCAAACTCAGGAGGATGAGTATTTCTGACTTCAGCCCCAGCATTCTATCCGCTGAGGCACCTAGCTGCCCTGCTTTTTTTACAGTTCTTTAATTATTTCTATTATGTGATCTTTTTTTTTAAATGGTACCCTGTAGTACTAAGAAATATGTTTATTTAAAAAAAACTTTTTTATTGATATCTTTTGGTTTTTTATATCACCAGAATTTCCTCCAGTACCTTTCCCTCTTCCTCCTCCCAGAGAAGTATCCCAAAAAATAAATAGATGATGCAGTAGATAGAGTGCTAGGCCTGAAGTCAGGAAGACTCATCTCCCTGATTTAAAATCTGGCCTCACACACTTACTTAGCTGTGACCCTGGGTAAGTCACTTAACCCTGTTTGCCTCAGTTTCCTCATCTGTAAGATAAGCTGGAAAAGGACATGACATAGTATCTTTGCCACAAAAACCCTAAATGGGGTCACAAAGAGTTGAGTATGCTGAAATGGCTGAACAACAACAAAGAAAAAAAGAGAAAAAATCAGCAAAATTTGATTGATATATTAAATAAATTGAAAACATATACAATATATTATACTTATTGACCTCTTCTTCAAAGGAATAGGGTAGGGGCTACCTTCTCATATCTCTTCTTTGGAGCTTGTTCTTTGCAATTTTGTAACATTTACTTTTTTGTAGTTTTTTCCCCCATTTACATTGTAGTCATGGTGTATGTTGTTTTCTTGGCTCTGCTTATTTCACTCTCTATCAGATTGTTCAAATCATTCCAAGCTTCTCTGTATTCATCACACTCAATATCTCTTAAAGCACAGTGATCCTGTATTACATTCATGTTACACTTTAGTTAGCCATTTCCCAGTCATGGGCATCTACTTTGTTTTCAATCTTTGCTACCACAAGAAGTTGTTGCTCTAAATATTTTGGCATATATGGGGGCTTTTTCCTTATCAATGACCTCCTTTTGGCATACACTTTTAACATTTCCATTCATAAGTGCCATTTCAGATTTCAATTCTCCAATACCTTATTTAGGTATTTATTTTCCTTCTTGTTTATCTTTATGTTAGATTTGTCTAGCTCCAAGGGAGGAAAATTAAAGTCTCCTACAATTATTGTGTTATTATTTTTGTCATTTTGCAGTTCAGTTAAAATTTCTCTTACGAATTTAGTTACTATCCCATTTGATACCTATATATTTAAAGCTGACATTTGGTTCATTATCTACGGTTCCTAAGCATAATGTAGTTTACCTGTTTACCTATCCTGATTTGTGAGTTTGTTTCTATTAAATTAATAATTTAAATAATCTTGATTTTTGCTTTGTTGATAACATGATTGTACCTCAGGCTTCTAGGAATTCATCTATGAATAGTATATGAATAGTAAATTCTGTTCTACCTCTTATTATCGGTCTGTATTAATGCAATAGTTTGAACTCCTTTGCTTTTTGAAATCTACTATTCCACTTTCTCTGGTGATTTCTCATGTATATGGATTAATCTTATGTTATTCAGATTGTCTTTCTCATTTGAAGGTCTCTCTCTTTACTGACTGCAAAATTTGTTGATATTTTTCATTGAAATTGTTAAATTTAATCACTTCATATTTTGAGTTACTTGGAGTTTGAAACAGGGCCCTTTTTTTCTCCCTGGCAGAAATCTCTGATAGTCTCAGTGCCTTATTGTATGTATTTAGAATTTCTGGACCATTATCTGCCAGTATTTCCCGCATTATTATGTTAGTTGGGTCTTTAGATTTATCACATTTTTCTTGGAGACCTAGGATCCTTAAGTTATCTCTACCCTCCTGTCTTTGAGGTCAGTCAGTAGTTTTGGCTTTTGTACAATTCATGTGTTCTGACAATGTTGCCTTTTGCCTTGTGCTGAATTTTCTTTCACTTTAGTATTTTTGTGTTCCAGATATATTATTCTCTCAAAGCTTCTTTTTACTTCTTTGGGAAGTTGTTCAGTCATGAATTCATTTTTTCTACTCTGCTTTTTAAAAAAAATTCTACATTTAGAGCTCTGGTTTCCACCCTAAATTCATCCGTAATTTCTTTTATGAGTTTCATTTCTTGTTTGAACCATTCTATAGTTTCTTAATGTCATCACATGTTTCTGAATAGGCCAAGAGATTCCCTCTTATCTGATCATTTTGGCTGATTTTCCTTAGAGTGATTGCATGAGGACCTGGATTCAAAGCCACTTCTGGTACTTAATAGTGCTCGTTATGTGAGTGACCTTTGGCAGGTCACAGCCTCCCTGTCTCAATGTTTCTGTCTTGATGTCTTTCAAATTCCAGTCAGTCTCGTGCCTTTGAGAATCTTCCTCCCTCTTTGGCCTCCTCTCCTTCCACAGCTGCATATTCTCCCCTTCCTGTCCCACCATGCTCCCAAGGCTAAGCTGTTGGGCAGCCTCACCTTCCTCATGTTGGGGGATGTTCCAGGACCTTGCCCTGAGTGTGTCTAAGGAGGAAAGGACTAGGCCCTGCTGGGCTTTCAGGCATCACTTTGTTATCCTCTCACTTGTGACTTTGAGCACCCGATTTGGCATGTCTTTAATCTTACAAGATCCTTTTCTCCTTCCTCTTTCGCTTTGCTTTTCTTACTAGAGCCCTGTAAGGTGGTGCAGATGTTATGATCTCCATTTTACAGATGAGGAAACTGAGGCTAGAGAAGTTAAGTGACTTTCCCATGGTCACACAGCTAGTCATTGGCAGATATGGAACTCAAATTCAAGTCTTTGGTCCTGCCCCTTTCTGCCACACCATGCCATAGACCCCTGTTCATCTAGAAGATTCTACTTAATGACTACACAGAGAATTACTACAGGATTTCAAGAGATCCACTATGATTTCTTCCTCCATAGGGCTCCTTCTTCCACTGATGCAGAGTCCAACGTTTCCATTCCTCAGCTGATGGCCTGTATTTCTTGTTATGGCATATCTCGTGATGAGCCTTTCCAGAACTTGGGATGCTCCTCAAAAGCCAGATGCACAGTCCATCACCAGGACCACATTAAAATCCTTTCTAGCTTGGTAGAACTGCCTAGAGCATGAGTGTTGTTGTCATAAGGGGTGCCATACTGATTAAGTTCAGAAAAGCATTTCACTATCTAATTAAGACGGACTCTCCTATGATGCACGTCCGTTCGAGTTTTCTTAAAATGCGTTTGTGCTTCCTGGAGTGCTGTAGATATGAGTTAAACGTGTGCGCCACGTCGTGTCTTAGCATCTGAAGACCTTGGCAAGGCAGACACAGAATAAGGGCTCAATGCCAGCTCACTGGACTTGCTGGAGTCCCAAAGGCATCTCAATGCCTTTAACAAGTCAGCCCCTAGAGAATTCTCTAGGGATTGGGAGAGTGAAAGGCCTACACACCAACGGGAAGTATGTTTCCTGCAGTCACAGGCTCCATTTGACTGTGTTTGGGATGAGGAAACATTTTGCAAAGCTGAGAGGTTTTTTTGCTTTCATTTTGATTATCCCTGCAGACCTGTCCAGCGTCACACTGGGAGACTTCAATGATGACGCCTCCAGTGAAAAGCTTCCCAAGTATTCTGTCCTGTCAAAGTTCTGCTGCATCTCCTGATCCTGGACCATGGCCCAAGAAGATTCCCTAGACTCCATCTCCCCTCCTGTATGTGCATGTTACTCAGCCCTCTCTCCGCCTCTTTTTCCATCTCTCTCTCTGCATCAAGTAGTGGTGGTAGGAGGAGGGAGGGAGGAAGCTGAAGGCCAATCAAAGATGGTTTCCTGAGAGTACAAGTTGTCATCTGCTCTGGCTTTGAGCAAGAAGGACTAGGCCAGCCTGAACCCTGGAATCCCATTCTCCTCCCCCATGTCCCCCAGAAAGCCTACCATGGCATAGAGGGGAGGGAGCTTGAAAGGGTCAAGGGCAAGAGTCCCCCCTCCACCTATCATCCCAGCAGGGCTGCAGGCTACTGTGGACCTGGTCTGAACCAAACCAAGGACTGGCAAGGAGCTAGGTGATCCTGCCATTGATTCCCCTAGAACTGACATTCCGGGGCAGCATAGCCAGATTTGGGGATGAGGTATGGATAGCTTAGAAGTTCCCTGGGTCACTTCTGGGGTGGAAGATACCCAGGAAAGCTGAGACATGTCAAGACCTTTGCAGAAGAGGCCAGGTACCACTTCTTTACCATGTCCTACAAAGATCTGCCAGGATCACCTATGAGGCTCCATGGTGACACCATCCATGGGGGCTCTTGACATCAGAATTGGCATTCTTACTGTAGGGATAGCATAGCCCTCCTCCTGCCCCTCCTCATCTCTGTAGTAAATAACTTCTGGTGGTCAGGCTTCAGTAAACATCGGCACTTCAATAAAGGAGACAATGAACCTCTTGTAAAGCCTTCAGAGGCTGGGGTATCTTTGGAGTCCAGAGTGTGCTTTCTGACCCACTGCTGGGGTCAGTATATTCCAAAGCTGGCCCCAGAAGCTTTGTAACCACAACCCTGCCTCTTTTCCCCTTCCCTAGCACTCTTCCCCTGTATCCCTCACCCCCAACAGAGGGAAAGAAAGTTATTCTAGAGGAGCAGGGGACAAGCGCTGGAGCCCAGGGCTCAGGACTCAGTCACAGCATGTAGAACTGGAAGGGACCTTAAAACTCTCCTAGGCCGACCCTGTCATCTTACAGGTGAAGTGACTGAGTGCAGAGAGGGAGAAGTAGTTATGCTGAAGGACACCTAGTGGAGAAACAGAATCCAGACTAGCCAGGAGGTCTCAGAGCCAGGAGGCCCTGGATTCAGATCCTACCTTTGACACTAGCTGGGTGACCATGGGTAAAATGCTGTACGCCAAGCTTCAGTTTCCCCCTCAGTAAAATGAGTGATGACTGCTCAGGCTCCTTCCAGCTGGGCATCTATGGTCATTTGTCCCTAGGTGGGCAGGCAGCTCTTTCTGTTGTACTGTCATTGGGTCTTTCTAAATCATGCCTTCCACCTGCCCTGTGAGATTCACATTAACTCGTCACAAAGTGAGGACTCCATGCAGGAAAGCAGCTAGATGACCTCAGCTGAAGAAGTAAGACAGGAACCCGCAGGCCCTGGGATCTTGCCTTGATGTGCATGTTTAAAGAACCCAGAGAGGGGCAGCCAGGTGGTGCAGTGGATAGCACACTGGCCCTGGAATCAGGACCCGAGTTCAAATCTTACCTCAGACACTTACTAGCTGTGTGACCCTGGGCAAGTCACTCAACCCTGATTGCCTCCAAAAGAAAAAAGGCCAGAGAGGAGCATGACGGTAGGATTTTAGACATGAAGATAACTGGATGGGGATAGATGATGTAGGCTGGAAGTCCCCCCTAAGGATCGAGGGAGAAGAAAGCTGGAAAGTAGGTTATTTAACCTCCTGGGCCTTGGTTTCCCCATCTATAAAATGAGAAGGTTGGAATAGATGAATTCTAAGGGCATTCACAGACAATCATTCAAATCATGACCCTAGTCTGAACCACGTGCTATTATTGGTTTGAACCAAACTCATGGTTTTCCTTCTCACAGAAACTTCCCTAGGGAGAATGCCTTTACCTAAAAAAAAGGAATACTAATGGTGGACATGTTGGGCACTGTGAGGGACTAATGGGAAGAGGTCAATCAAAACCCCGTCAGCCCCCATACACAGGGCACAAGGCTGGTAGCTGTTTCTGCTATTACCATGTCCTTCTTCCCAAAAAAGCCTTTTAAACTACATTCAATTTATGGAAAGAGTCTGAGGACAGCTTTCCTGCTCAGCCTCCTCCTTTCCAGTAATTCTGCCCAGGGCTAGTGCTCCCTCCCTGACCTCATAGATGAGGATGGGGCCCCACTCCTGTCGGGGCCCAGGTCCCTCTGGGAAGTCATGTGGCTCTCTGCGTGGGGGGTGCCTGTCATTCTCCATCAAGACTGGTGAGGCAGCTCCCAGCTCCCCCAGCCCCATTCTCGAGCCTGCTTTCACATTTACATGAAGAAAAGGATCCCTACAACTAGCTCTTACAAAGCGGCCTGCTCTCCAAATTCCCAGACCCCATTTTACAGCTTAATCAGTGACAGTTAAAAAAAAAAACCTCTTCAATCCCTGGTGTTAAGACGAGGCTTGTGTCCAGAAGGAGGGAGGTGGCAGGAGTCTGGCTGCCTTTAGCCCTGCCTAGGCACGGCCTGACTAGGCTGCTTTTAGTACGAGGGTCCCTGTTGTAAGAGGAGTAACAAAACTGAAGCATGGCCGAGGGCTGTGTCCAGGATGAGGAGACACTGTGTGAGTGGAAGATTGATCTCCCAGGCCTGGCACTATGCAGCCAGGAAAAGAGAAGGCTGGGGGTTGGGAGGGTGGGATGGGGTTTGTCTTGCAGAGCTGGAAGGGCTGGCTGACTGGCTGTCTTAGGGAAAAAAGGATGGAGCTTGCTCTATTTTTATAGCAACCAGGAATTACAAGAAGGATTACCATCTGCTTTGCTGCTGCACCCTAAGGATCCTGGGACGTTTCTGACTTGCAGCTGAAACCTTCTCTATGTGTTGTCTCCCCCATAAATACAGAATGTCCTTGGGAACAAAGACTCCCTCGGGTTTCTCTTTGTATCTCTTTGCACAGGATAAGCACTGAATGAATGTTTTATTCATTTATTCACAATGACTGGAAGTTTCAGAGACGCACAATTTGAATCAGCAAAAGCGGAAAAAAAAGTTCCAAGTAGAGCCCCCCCTAGTGGGTGTTCTGAGGGGCTAGTGAGACCATGGATCTTTAAGCCTTCAGGTGGACAGCCACTCGCTGGGGACATTGGGGAGGAGATTGCTGCTGCAAGTGTGGGTGGGACTGCAGGACCTCTAAGTCCCTTCTGCTTCTGAGATTCTGTCATGGGAACATTTTCATGGGGTTTCTGGTTGAGAGGCCATGTCTCTGCATGTCTTTACTGAGCTGCAGCAAACGCTATGAGATGTCATGCAGGAGCTTTCTTGGTGGCTCTAAGCATCACCGAGTGGCCCCAGAACAGGGCCAGAACTGGAAAATCAGAAAATCTCAGATCTGGAAGGTGCCTTAGACGACCCCAAGTCTGACGACCTCATTTTACAGAGGAGGAGATTGTGGCCCAGAAAAGGGATGTCATTTTCCCAGAGTCACACAGCAAGTCAGAAGTCAAGCTAACACTAGAACCCAGTGCTCTTCCAATGTCTTGGACACGAAGCTTTCCCAGTCGAGGGTGGAGGATGTCCCCTATAAGGCAAAGAATGGCTCTGAGTCTAGTCACAGATGATCATCTTCACTGGACGCACAATCCAAGTCCGAGTGCAGGTTGTCCCCATCAGAGACTGGGACCCGATCCATCGGACCCTCCCCCATGGTCTCTGCCTGGAGAGCAAATGTCATTCCCCAGCTACAGGGGTAGCCCACGGGCCTCAGCTGGCGGCTGATCAGAGCCAGGGCCAGGTGCCCGTGGTATCTCTCCATTCATCTGCCAACCCTGGTGCCCCTCTGTTTGCTCATGGTGGTGAGCATCTGGCTGATGTAGGAGGTCAGGAGGTCATCCATTTTGTAGCCCTAGACAAGAAAGGGGGGACAGAGAAAGACACTAATATTAGTTTTCACTTCAACAAAGGGCGTCATTCTGGCCAAGCCATACCAACCTCCTCCTAACACGACTCTGAATCACAACATTCACACTTTTTTTTTTTGGCAGCCCAGTGGTAACTGGTGGCACAGAGAGGTGAAATCAGGTCTTGAAGTCATACAATGGCCACTCACCCTTGCAATTTCCAAGTTCCTGGTCCTTGCTTAATTCACTTAGGGAGGAAGGGACCTGCAAGGTTCTCTAGTCTAGCCCTTTCATTGACAGCAGAGGAAACTGAGTCACATAGTAGATAGTCGCACATATAGTAAATAACCTTAGAATGTAAGCTCTTTGAGCCCAGCCCTTAGACAATTTGGATACCAACCCCAGTCTGAGCCATGACCCTGGCCTCAGTCTGAGCCCTCACCCCTGACACCTCATCCCATCTCTAGGCTGAGCCTTGACCCTGGCCTCAAACTGAGTTCTACTCCTGACTGCAGGCTGAGTCTTGACCCCATTCTCAGAGGATGACTTTCCCTGGCCCCAGTCTGAGCTCTGACCCTGAACCAGGACTGATCCCTTGCCCTGGCCCCAGATGGAGCCCAGCCCTAAGACAACCTAGACATCAACTCCATCTGAGCCCTGACCTTAACTCCAGACTGAGTTCTGTTCCTGGCCCCAGTTGAATCTCTACCTCTGGATCAGGTCTGAGCCCTGTCCTTTACCCCCAGACCCTGGGCCCTTAGCCTGGACATCAAACCCACCCTAAGCCCTGTCCTTGGCCCCTTGACTCCTAATACTTAAATTGACAATTCACATTTATACTGTGTTTCACAGCTAACAAAACCCTTTTCTTACAACCATCCTTTGTAGCAGTGGTTCAGATATTATTATCCCTTTTTTGAAGATGAGGAAACAGTGCCACAGAGAGGTGGTGTGAATTGCATTTCATGACATAGGTAGGAAATACCACGGTCGAACGCTTCACATTTAAACTTAAACTAAATCTTCTCTTTCATTATGTCAGGCCACCCCAGCCTCACAATGAACACGTAGCCTTAGGACACTCATCTCACAAACATGAAACTGTCTTTTGCCTTTTACTGTATCCCCAGAGCTTAGCACAGTGCCAGGCTCATGGAAGGTACTTAATTAATGTTTGTTGACTGATTGATATGGGCCGTTGGTCACTCAGGGACCCTCTGGGCCTAGAGAGTATGGACGACTTTGTGCCAAACCATCCCTACTCTGACAGCCATATCTTGAAGTGCCCTCATTTTACAGATTAGGAAACTGAAGCCCTGAGAGAATCATTGCCTTGCCCAAGGTTACAATGGTAGGTACGTGTTAGAGCTGGGATTTGAACCCTGCGTCTTCAGGGTCGAGCAGCCAGACTTTTGGCCCATAGGTCGGTCAGTCACTAACCTAGGGGGTGGTGTTCTTACCAGAGAAGTTTCACAGAGTAGCTTACTCCCTCGCACCAGGTTCCCGATAGTGATGTGGAAGTACGTGTTCCCGCTGCTCCAGTTGGAGATCTTGGTGAAGGGGTGAGTGGTGAGAATATCCTGAAAAAGAAGAGCAGTTTTGTGAGGGGTGCCGATAGCCTCCTCTCCTCTCCTCTCTTATCTTTCTGGGCTGAGTCCTGCTGATCCTGCCTCTAAGTTCTCAAGAAATGTGAAGCAGGAGAGAGCCTCAGAGATGGTCTAGCTAAATGTCCCCAGATGACAGAACAGCAGCAGCACGGGGTGCAGGGAAGTCGGCATTGCCTTCAGAGTCACAGGTCATGGCTGGAGAGCCTGGCTCAGGCACCTGGGCCTCTGTTTCCTCATCTGTAAC